CATTTCAGCTAGGATTTTATGAAAATAAGATCATGAATCTGGAGGACGACCAAAAGTTGATATGCCTACTTCCTGCGAACTGAGCCAAAAATTGCGACCGTTGCTAATAAAATAGAATATCAATGTAATAACAAAAGAAAAAACACTCTTCGCCAGCATGCCGACACATGAAAAGGTTGACAAACTGAGTTGCTCGGGGGTCTACAGCATCAAATGCGGCAACTATGAGCAGAAAAAGATTGATGAAACAGGAAGAAAAATCAGCTTATAAATCAAACACCAAATACTCTGCAGAAACATGGATACTGAAAGACCTGAAATAGCGTGACAAATCACACAGACGGGACACTAAATCTACAGAAAGGCTGGCTGCATATGGTGAAAATACAACACAAGATAAAAGAAGTCATCAATATCCTGACTGAAAGGAATCCAATGAACAGAAGATTTGAAGAAGGCAGGATTAGCGAAAACTTTGCATAGTGCCTAAGCAAACTCGGAAAAGATCATGAAACAGCAATATCAGCAAAAAGAAGATGACTGGACAAAGGTAATATTTTTAAGACTATAGAAAGAAATTACAAGAAGACCAGAGAAACTATCGAGAAACAAGAGATCTACAATGAGCATATGCAAATCAAGTATAACTACCACACTTGGGGGTCGGAACGCAAGAGACTTGGGCATAAGAAAGTCATATACTTGACATTAGGAATAGAAGAGCGAGAGATATGGTTGAAAACATTGATAGTTGGCTATTAGTAGATAGGATTTATCATAGACGTGGTCCATGAAGTAAAGACTTGACCACAAGATATACTCGGTGTATATACAGCAAAGTGATAAGCGTCAAGTTAGGTTAACATGCCAGTTGAGAATCAAGACTTTAGGGGCTTACCCAGTGAGGCTGATGTATACAAGCTAGCAAAGGCTTGAAGCAGAATGTAGAACATGACGCCTTAAGTAGCATGGATAAGGTGGCAGCGATAAAGTGAAATCATTGAAACAGGTAGATAAGGAATTGATCCTACGGAGAAAGAGGGGGACAATGATAGGAACCGGAGGGGATTGCGGACTAAACCACAACCTTGGATAAACACTCTCGGTACAGTGGAAGGGATGTGGAAAACAGCGTGAAGTGTGAGCAGGTTTCAAATTGGTGATAAATAAAAAATTGTGATATTGAAGGGGTGATACGATAAGATAGGATAGGTGAATACCTTAGAACAGAAGGAGAAATATCACAACTGTTTAGCAGACATTTGGTCAAAGGATCGATTTCACTTATCTCTTTGATGAGTTGTGGTGTGGTGCTAAGATTGGCAAGGCTCACCTACGATGAAGGCGAAGCGTCTGGGAATGTACCATGGTCCGACTCTGCAAATTATCATGCATACTATAAACTCTGGACCAGATGTGTTCCTCTAGACCTTTCCCTCCAATATGGTCAAGTTGCGAAAAAAGGTCAAACTTATATAAAAGATTTTAGACACCTTTGGTTTCACTGTGAACTTAAATGGCAAATTTAAAATAAAACCAATAAGAGAATAGCTCATACTATTTTAGGCGTAAGGAGCTTAGCATTTGGAACTTAGGAAAATGCATTGTATTGTAAAATATAAGTTACTTAGAGCAACATTTCTAGCCCATTAATGCTCGTCGAAAAAAGAAAAACTCGTTTCCTGCCTTTGGAATTTCAGTTGAGTATAAATATAGATTGGATATAGAGTGCAAAAACAAAGGAAAAAATAACCTGCTCAAGAAGATTTTCCTTGAATTTAATATCCTCAAGAAGAGTAAGATGGCGGTTTTCGAGGTCAGTACGAAGAAGAGTCTCTTGCTCAAGCTGCTTGCGAACAACATCATGCTGCTTTAGTAAGAGGTCGTACTTGCACCGAAGATCCTGAAATATCAGTAACATGCAGATGGCTGATGTGAGAAGTCTCGGTAAAATAAGTTAAAGTTATCTGAGTAAAATATTAGCAAGTGTAGGAATTTGTTGTAGTGCCAAAGCAATCCATGTAGTGATCTAGTCATTATTATGATTGATGATTTTATCAAGCCTATCCTGCCTATTCTAAGGAAAGAATAAAAATTCACTGTAGGAGATCGAAGATAGTTAAATAGTAAATAACAAAATCAAAGTGCACTTTTAATGAGAAAAATGCTCCTTAAGCAAAAAAATGATCGTCCAAAAGTTAGCTAATCATGAATGCCTAATATGGTTTATTT